ACCTTCCCTCCAGGGGTTCAGAACTACTTTTAAGGACAATGTACAAGGATTCTATTTATTTATTTATTTATTTTAAAAATTTTTAATAGTCCTTTACTATTTTATTCTTTGTGTGTTGTAATCCACTTTAGGAAACCCAGTATATCAAAAAGAAAGGATGACTATTTGCTTTATAAAGTCACACTTCAAAGAGGAATTCACAGCATTCTTTTAGAGTAGCTTAGTTAGTGGCATTATTATTTTTTAAGAATTATTTATTTAATTTTTTAAAATTTATGATTATTATTTTAAATTCATCAGAGAGACACAGAGAGCAAGAGAGAGAGGGAAAGTGAGTAGCCAGGCCCAGGACTCAATCCATGCTCAACCATGTGGGAGTCCAGTGCCTTAATCACTACTGAAGTTGCTGGCCCCAGCATTATTTATTATTCAGTTGACAAAACTTATTTTGTAGAGGTTAGCAAGAATTTCTTACTGCATACAACTAGACAGTTGGATTTAGAGAACCTTTCTGGTTGTCTAAATATGTAATAATGTTCACCTACCTGCCCCTGTCTCCACCTACCAACTCTCCAAAGGCTACCATTTCTTCAACTTTTCTATCCTTCCATTGCTCATACAAGCATACAGACATAGGTTCTTATTTTAGCATACTTAAAGGTAATACGTACTTCTGTACCATAGGTTTTTAAACATTGAAAAAAATAAAATATTTTGAAGCCTTCTCTATATCGACACAGAGCAAACTTCTTCGTTCTCTGTAACAGCAGCCTAAGGGAATGTGTCATAGTTTATTTAACTATCCCCCTGTAGACGGCCACTTGGATTGTCGTTACAAACCGTGCTACAGTGAGTAGCCTTGTACATACGACCATTGTGTACAGATGCTGATATATCGATAGAATAAACTTCCAGGAATGGGATTGCTGAGTCAAAGGATAAACGTACATGTCATTTCAATATGCACTGCCAAATCATCTTCTGTAGGTGTTAGAGTTGTACATTTTGTGCCATTAGTGGATTGTAGAAAAGCATTTATTTTCGATTTATGAAAAATTTTACATGACTACTTTTGTCCCAGTCTTGAGGAATAAGGCCCTAAGAATCATTGTTCTCTATGTCATAAATGTGGCAAATAAAGCAATCTAACTCTAGAGACTTACTCATTTTGACATTAGATGCGGCGAGGTATTTCTCAAGATGTTTTTTCCACTCCTCTTTTGGCTTCATGTCTTGTTGGTCCTCATTACAATCATATTCACTAGATTAGTCATCGAGGGTATTTTGTGTTTTCTCCATTAGTATGGTCATCACAGTTTATTTTAAGAACTAAAGGAAACCTTTTCTGTGCAGAACAGCGGCAGGAGCCCAGGGAGCGCCGACATCTTTCTGCTCAAGTCTTGCTCTATCACGTCTGGGGCAGTAACCCCTTGGATAGTGTCTTCCAGTTGCCCCAAGCTTGGGCCTAGCACACAGCCTCGGTTCCTTTGTCCACTGGGTCTACTGGCCTACTGCTCCTTCTGTCGCCACGGCCCAGGAAAGCTCAACAATTTTGGTGCTGCTCATTTCAGCACCCACCTGCAGCAAGACCGGGGCCAGGTGGCCCAGGCCCAGCATAGGCACAAGGGTTCTATTTAAATCTGCCTTGGACCCCACTAGGCTTCCCTCTTAGACATGTTGACATACGAGATCAGGTGCGTAAGACATGTTCTGTATATGCATGGATCCCATATTTTTCTCTACCGTATCCTCAAATACCAAGCATTTGGCATTCTCCTCACTTAGTTCAAGTTCTTTTTTTTTTTTTGGGGGGGGAGATTTTCACTGTAGGGCAGGTGCGCTCGCCAGACAGACAGAGACATAGAGACAGAAAGCGAGAAATCACCCCCCAGGGGGGATGGTCACGCCGCAATCCCTTCTCCTCCATTCTCCTCTCGGGATCTTGGGCACGCACGCACACGCGCCCGACGTGAGTTTTAAGCCACCGGGTCCGGGACGTGAACCGCGGTCGACTACGTGGGAGTCCAGCGACATAGCCATTACGCTAACTGCTGGTTCCCAGTTCAAGTTCTTTAACTGAATGGTACCCTTGGACTTCCTTTGACCATGGGAACACTCACTTGCCTCAAGCTGGTATCGTTTCATCTGACATCGCCAATTATTATTGTCTATTTCTGTTGAATCCATCTCTCACTTTGCTTATATTTCCACATACATGGCGTATCCTGTGGGGGTTGAGACTGGAAGTATTTTACTTAGTGTTATTTGGTCATCCACATTTCCGGAAATGTAACTGAGAAACCTATCTAAAACACTTTGTGAAAATAAGCAATGTATCAGCACACCTTCACTGGAAACCTTTAAGCATACTTTTGTTGTTGTTTTTTTGTTTGTTTGTTTGTTTGTTTTGTTTTTTGAGAGGTTTTTGCTACAGGGCTCATGCACTCGCCAGACAGACAGAGAGAGACAGAGAGACAGAAAGCGAGAAATCACCTCCCAGGGGGGATGGCCACGCCACAATCCCTTCTCCTCCGTTCTCCTCTCGGGATCTTGGGCATGCATGCACATGCGCCTGGCATGAGTTTAAGCCACCAGGTCCAGGATGCAAATCGCGGTTGACTACATGGGAATCCAGCAACATAGCCATTATGTAAACTGCTGGTCCCACCTTTAAGCATACTTTTGGTGTATAATTCAAGGGTCAATGGCAAGGTTGCTGCGTGTATGAGCCTAAATTATTTTATCACTTAGGGTCTTTCTTTTCAATCAGATATCCTAGAAACAGTTGAAATATGTGTATGAATGATTCTGAAAAGTTAGTAGTGGCTTCTCTTTCAGAATGTACAAGACCAACAGCCTCTTCTCTCATAACGGGAAAAATTGGCTATCATTATAAAAGCTATGAACTTTAAGTGGCTCAATGGCATTTAGTTTGTCAAATTTGGATTTGTTTGTTCTAGGTAACTGAGAAAGCTCCCCCACACTTACTATATTCCAGTCATGACACAGAACTCAGGCTATACCGAGATGATTTAACGTTCAGACTTGCACTCCAGAAGAATAACATATACCTTCTATCATTTTCCTGCTATTCTGGCATTTAGACTGTGTCATTCTGCCTCATAATCCTAGAGCAGGCCAAAGTTCTGGCTGTGTCAAAGTCATGGTTTAGCAGTCTGTCTTGTTTGCTATTTTTACATGATTTAAAAATTATTCTGTCTTGTTTTTGTGTTTGATTTTCACTGTATAGAAGTCATTGTAATACTCGTAATATTTTCTATTTCATCTTGAGGTTGTTGCAAACAAAGGAGGGGAAGTGTAAGGGAAAGGATTTTCTATGATTTTCAAGTCATCAGAATTTTCCTCTCTGTTTTAGCTTTCCTAGAAAGCAAAATTAAGCAATTATGAAAAAGTAACACACAAAGGCAAAAGGAAATTAAATATCGAAAGTTAAAAAAAGAGGATGTTGCATCTCTAACCAAATTTAAAAAAAAAAAAAGTAACTGCATCAGCTCCGATTGGGCGCTCTGCAGAGGGGTTGAAACTGACAGGTTTCAGCCCCGCCAGTGGGACAGAGCGCCCCTTGCAGCTGCAGAGGCGCCTGGCAGGAGGGCAGCTGGCTCCTCTAAGACAGGCTGTTTCCTAAAGGGCTAGTTTTCAGCTTTACAGAATCAGACTGTTTATTTTCCTGTTTACTATCCTTGCGTTTACATTTACACCGTCCACAAGGACTATCAGACTTTGGGGATTTAGTCGCACAAACCCATGCTCACAGTGTTCCGGGTTATAGACTGGATGACCTTTTTACTGACGTGTGAGAGGTCAGCTATCCTGAATGTACTAGCTATTTGGGCAGGACACTCCCTCCATACACACACTATGTCACATAAGACATGAAATAAGAATATAAAATGTTTACGGGTAAGCTGCAAATCAGTGGAAAAAAAGCCGGTTATCTCGGGGAATCTTCCATCCAGTTTCCATAGCCAGGTATTAGTTTTCTCCATTACGGGGATAGCTAAGAGGTGCCAAGTGCTTACGTGTGCAGGCATTGTAATAAGTACGTAACGTCATCCAGTCATGACAACGCATCGACATTTATGTGATCATTGTTTCCACACAGCAGAAGAGGATACTGAGATGCCCAAGGCCACAGAGCAAGGCAGGCTATGGCTGTGACATGAGCTATGGTGGTCCAGCCACTGGGTCTCTAGACATCACTACGAGGCAATTCTAGCTGAGGCATTACACAGCAATTCCCATTTTCCTTAGTTACCCCAAAGCACCATTCGCTCATTCCAGAGACCCTAGAGTATACTTGAGTGGGATATTGCTACCTGTTCTCTTGTTAGTTCAAGTCTTCCCCTCCAGTGTTGTGTTTAGTTAAATTCAGCTGCATCTAATAAATTCCCCAATCCCACCTGAGATATTTTCAGACATTATTCAAGTGGTTCAATAATGCATTTTGAATATTTCTTACTATCTTGGTGTTCAGAAGACTATTCGTTTCCTGATACAGTCCCCAACTCAGGTGGCATCTTTAAAGTACATATACAATTTGAACTTATCCGAGAAGGGGGAAAGTACAAATTGAAAAAAACAAGAAAAATCATATTCCTCTCTTCTGTATATGCCTACATATTACATTGTGGTCCAAAGAGTCATTATTTAGTATGTGGGCATCCTCCACTTCTCTCACTGTGTCTAGGCTTTCTCCTCAGGAATAACTCAGGGTGTAAGGAACACATCTTATAAAATTGTAGTGGTATTCTCATTTTTTAGTTCCTTATACAGGCATTCATGTCAATAAATATACATTTTTAATTGACTGTGAAAAAAAACCCACAAAAACCAAAAAGAAAAGGAAAAAACAAAAAAAGTGGAAAACCCCAGAAAATGAAAGTTGCAGGGCTCACTTTAAAAGGCGCTCCACACCATCAGGTCCTCAGACCTCACTGAGACTCCCTTCCAGGCAGTCCTGCAGAGTCACCCAGATCCCAATGGCCCTCCCGGTCTCTGCACTGCTGGCCCTGGTGGTGCTGTGCTCTAGCCCCGCCTGCTCTCTGGGCTGCGACCTGCCTCTGAGCCATGGCAAGTGGGAAATCTTCACCCTTTTGGCGCAAATGGAAAGAATCTCCATCCTGTCATGTCTGAAGGACAGGACTTACTTCGGATTTCCTCAGATACTTGTGGGTGGACACCAGGTTGACAGGACACAAGCCACAGCTGCCATACATGAGACGCTCCAGCAGATCTTCATCCTGTTCAGCACCAGGGGCTCTTCTGTGGCCAGGAATGAGACCCTGCTCGAGAAATTCCTCCAAGAACTTCATCAACGGCTGGATGGCCTGGAGACCTGTCTGGGGAAGGAAAAGGAGGTGGAACCGTCACCCCCAGGAAGCGAGAACCCCAGACTGGCTGTGAAGAGTTACTTCCAAAGAATCAGTCTCTATCTGAAAGAGAAGAAGTACAGCCGTTGTGCCTGGGAGATTGTCAGGGTGGAAGTCAGAAGGTGCTTGCTCATCATTAACAATCTCTCAGGGAAACTCAGGAAATCAGGAAGACATTGATTCTCAAAACAATTTACCTGGGCAACTGAATTGCTATTTTCTAAGACTCAAAGTGCAATATCTATTTTTATATCAGATGAGAAATAATTAATATTAAATGCTATAAAGTATAAGAAACTGTTGAGAATATAGAAATTAATAAAACTTTTGTAATTTTATTTATTTAAATTATTTGAAATATTTATGGCTTTTACGTTTTAAATATTAATTATTAAAATAACTTGTTTTGTATTATATTTTGTAGAAGACTACTGTTCACTTTTAAGTTGTGTAAAAATAAAAATAATTTCAAAAATAATTGTTTTGCTTTCATACTCTTTTGGAATAGAAACAACCCACAGTATCATCGCACAAAATAAAACTGAGAAGGTACCTGAATGAAGAGGGAGTTGGGATAGCTCATTAAACATCACAGCACTCAACACATATTGAGGAAGGATTGAATGTAAAACCCCAAGACATAGCTCAGATATGGAGAGACGTGATTTCTTTTATTTTTTAATGGAGAAATTGAGTATTTTATTATTATTTTGCTGCAAAGCTATTGCTTCGACTGTATAAAATAGCACCAGCAAATGCAGTATATGGCAAAACTAAAATAGTACTGTTCTTTAACAGTGTACAACTAAGGGAAACTTTTCTCAACTCCCAGTTACTTCCAATGGAGAGAAAATGAAGTATTCTGACCCAAATCCGTGGATGTTCATATACAGTGTTACAGAAGGCTTAGTATAACAGTGGTATCACTAATTACATAATTCTTATAACCAGGTTTTAATCACAGATAATTTCATGAATTCTAAATAGTCGAGCCTAGACTAAGAATCATAGAATATTGTGAAAAAGATGCATTTTATGTTTACTAAAAATATGATCATTAGAAAGTTAAGGGGTATTTCTTTCAGTAGCGGTGTTCAGAGTAGTTTCTTTTTCCACCGGTACTGCTAAAAGTTGCAATTTTGAGTCTTCTATCAACCACTCACTTGAGACAACTGCCTGGATTAAGTGGTTTGACACTCTTTATTTAAGGGTTCTACTTCCATGTCTTTCTCATACGCTCTTAACTCATTAGTTCCTCTAGTTCTGAAACGTTACTCAGTGTCATCTTGATCAGCCAGCCATCTTCATAACGAAATTTGTTGACAAGTCCTGGATTTTCTGCAAGAGTGTCATTAATTTCAGTTACTTCTGACAGAGGACAATCCAGTTCACTAGCAGCTTTTACACTTTCCAAAGCACCAATCTCATCTTGTTCAGTTTTGTCCCAACTTCAGGCAGACGACAATAAGCAACATCTCCCAAGGCTTCCTGTGCAAAACTGCTGATCACTGTTCCAATATCATTTTTGTTGTTATCCATTCTTGTTTCTCCCTGAATTTTCGTATTGACAGCAGAGCGGGTCCCGTAAGCAGCATCCGGTAAGTTCCCACTCTGAGCCGCCAGGGCCACCGCGGGCAGAGCACCGGGGCTGCGGAGCCCGCGCGCAGGATGCAGGCCACCGCCCTCAAGCTCCAAGCCGCTCGCAGCGCCATGTTCCGAAGGGATGCAGAAGAAGGTCGCAGCGCTGCTCCGGGCTGCCCGGGGTGGGAGGCTGGACGGAGCAGTCCCGGGCCAGAGCTAGCCGGCTGGACCAGGCCTGGGGGCCAAGAGATTTCTACAGACAAACCTAAGGTTGGGCATAGACACCAACTTTTTCTTTTTTCTTAAGTAACAACTGGAGATATTGCAAGATATAGTAGAGACCTAAGTAAGCCAGGGAAACACAATTCAGTATGTCTCTGTACCCTGGGGAATCTTAGAGAAGGCTGATGGTAGAAGGATGAGTACAGAGTCTAAACTGCTCAGGTTCTAGTACCTCATTTCTCATTCCTGTATTCAAAACACTTCAAGGATAAAATTAGAGAAAGTATTCCTATATCAGAATAATTTTAGTATTAATTTATATCATAATGCTCTTTTATTTTCCTTGATACTCTCCTAATCATTATCTTATTTTGAATATCTGTTACAATCAGTGGTGAGATTTTTTTTGGGGGGGGAGGTTTTTGTTATAGGACGTGTGTCCTCGCCAGAAAGACAGAGAGAGACAGAGAGACAGAAAGCAAGAAAGCACCCCCAGGGGGGATGGCCACACCGCAATCCCTTCTCCTCCATTCTCCTCTCGGGATCTTGGGCACGCATGCACATGCGCCCAAGCGTGAGTTTAAGCCCCCAGGTCTGGGACTTGAACCACGGTCGACTACATGGGAGTCCAGCAACATAGCCATTACACCAACTGCTCACTTAAAAATATTTTTTTCAGAGAGATTTTTGCTATAGGGCATGTATACTCACTGAGAGACAGAGAGATAGAAAGCGAGAAATCACCTCCCAGGGGGGATGGCCACACCGCAATCCCTTCTCCTCCATCCTCCCCTTGATTTTGGGCATGCACACACATGTGCCCAGCATGAGTTTCAAGCTCTGAGTCTGTCTAGGACTCCAACCATGGTCAGCCATGTGAGAGTCCAATGATGTAATTGGACTCCAAAGATTAAGCCATCTGTTGATCCCTAAAAATGCTTTTAAACTCCTACTCTCTGTGGTATATTAGGTGTCATGCTAGGTGTTAGAGCACAAAATTTATTAAGATTGTATTTTTGTCTCCAGGTTGCATATAAGTCTTCTAAAAAATTGGCCGAAAGAGGAGAAAAGTGGGGGTAGCAAATTTGATATATCCCTGGGGGAAAAAAAATGAAAACAAGAGAATGAGGACACATTAATATCTATCATACTCAGATTCATTAATATTCCATCTAAAAATAAATTCTGATCAGTATATAGAAGAATGTTTCAGTCAAACCTTGACTAGAAATGAGAAGATAGCAGTATGTAAGTAACCCTTTTCCACACTTTGTGAACTGATCCTACGTAGTCACGAGTAAAAGTTTTTAACTGCCAATTTGGTTTACTGAAGATGCGAACTTAATCTTGAGGGCATTATTCAAATTGGAATGAAAGGCATAAAGCTATCTCTATTTACAAATAATGTCATCTTAATAATGTACTGTAAAGATTCACACAAAAGTCTATTATAGCTGATAAATGAATTTAGGAAATTTGCAAGATGTAAAATCCACAAACTAAATTTAGTTATATACTAGCAATGATTCACCCAGAAAGGACATTTTAGGAAATTTAATTTATAATAATACAAGAAGAATAAAGTACTTGGAAATAAAGTTAACCAAGGAGTGCACAAATTTCATTGAAAAATACAAAATATTGCCAAAAGAAATTAAAGAAATCCTCAATTTGAAAAATAGAAATCATCTCTAGCATTTTCTCTGATTGTAATGGAATTAAACTTGAAATGACCAACAATAAAACTTTCAAAAATATTTAAACACATGGAAATGAAACGATAGGCTCCTGAATGATTTGCTCCTTACTGAAGAAATTAAGAATAAAACTTAAACATTTCTGGAGACAAATAATAATGAAAATACAACACTCCAGAACCTTTGGGATCTAGCAAAGGATACATTCAAAGAAAAGCTTATAACAATGAGTATTTATAAGAAAAAAAAAAGTCTGCAAACAAACAACCCAATGATGAATCTTCAGAAACTAGAAAAGCAAGAACAAGCTAAATTCAAATGTAAAAAAAAGAAAGAAAATAAATATCAAAAAATAAGCAAGTGAAATAGAGAGTTAAATAGTTACAGTAATAAAAATTAAATTGAAAGCTGGTTTCTCAAGAGAATAAATAAAATTGAGAATATTATAGTTAGATTAACTAAAAGGAAGAGAGGAACCACAAAAATAAAATCAGAGACAAAAAACAGGACATTACAATAAATATCTCAGAAATACAAAAGATTATTAGAGATTACTTTAAGCAGCTATATGCTAAGAAATTGGAAAACCTAGGAGGGACTTCTAAATTTGTCTAAATTTCTGGACTCACGAAACATATCTAGTTTGAATCAGAAAGCTATAGAAAGCCTAAATAGTCCAATAACAAGTAACAAGATTGAAACAGTAATTAATAGTCTTCCACCAAAGAAAAGCTCAGGTCCAGGTGACTTCACTGCTGAATTCTACAAATCTTTTTTTTTTTTTTTTGAGGGGAGAGGTTTTTGCTATAGGCCACGTGCGCTCGCCAGAGAGACAGAGAGACAGAAAGTGAGAAATCACCCACCAGGGGGATGGCCACGCCACAACCCACAATCCCTTCTCTTCCATTCTCCTCTCGGGATCTTGGGCATGCATGCACATGTGCCCGGTGCGAGTTTAAGTCACTGGGTCCAGGACTAGAACTATGGTCAACCACATGGGAGTCCAGTGACATAGCCACTACGCTAACTGCTGGTCCCATCTACAAATAATTTTTTAAAAAATTAGCCAATTTTCTTCAAACTATTCTGAAAGATCCAAATGGAGGGGATCTGCCCAAACTCATTCTATGAAGTCACCATCACCATGATATGAAAAGCAACAAAGACACAACAAAAAAAGAAAACTACAGAACAATATCCCTGATAACTACAGATACCCAAATCCTCAACAAAATAGTAGTGAATCAAATCCAATCACACATTAGAAAGATTACACATCATGACCACACAGGATTAATCCAGGGATGCAAGGATGGTTCAACCTATTTAAAACAGTAAATGTAATACAGCACATTAATAGAAAGGCAAAAATATGAGCATATTAATGGATGTGGAAAAAGCTAAAATACAACATCCCTTCATGATTAAGACTCTCAACAATAAAAGCATAAAAGACACATTTATTAACATGATAAAGACCATATATAACAAATCCACAGCTAACATGGTATTGAGTGGGCAAGAATTAAAAACTGTTCCACTTAAAACTAGAACAAGACAGGAATATACACTTTTTCCACTCCTATTCAACACAGTACTGGAAGTCCTAGCCAACACAATCAGACAAAAGTGTGGAATGAAAGGTATCCAAACTGGAAAGGAAGAAGTTAAATTGTCCCT